ATTTTCAGCAGAAAATTGCTCAAACTTAGTCAGAATCATCTTGGGTAAATGAGAGTTTTACTTTGTAAAATTAGGATTCCTGCCCCATCCCCAGGGGCTAGAGCGGGGCCCCAAAGGGAACATTTACCAATATTTTCAAATTCTTATCCATTGATGACATGACTAGTATTGTATTTCACTTAGTTTACATGCTGATTTCCACATCACATCTAAACAATAAAATAAAGCTACCAGTATCTATGATATAACTCAGGTGACCGCTAAGGCCCTTGGGCCTCTTGTTATAATTACCTTTGGTTTTTTACGGGGTGGCACTGTGGCCGAATGGTTAATTCGTCTGACATTCTGCTACCACTAGCTAGCCCTCCACCACTGGGTCACAGTTTCCAGACCTTTGTGGGGCAGTTGCCAGGTACTTGCCGTAGGTCGGTGGGGTTTTTCCGGGAACTCGGTTTTCCTTCACCACCTAAACCTGGCACATCCTTAAATGACCAAAGCTGTTAATAGGATGTAAAACACACAAAAAAAAACTTCGGTTTTTATCCATCAAGTTCATTTTGGACTTTAGACCAATCATAATTTATATTACAGTATCTCTTTGGGAAAACTATTCAAAGCATTACATATATTGTATCTACAAATCTGGGATGTTGACATTAAACGGTTTGGAATTTAATTTCTACAATTCACTAGAAATGTTTGTTTTGAGGTATCGCAATAAAAGAGAAAAGGAAAAAAGTTTTTTGTCCCCGGCCAGCTTGTATTATTACTGTAGCTTGGGTAGAAAATTACTGCATATGAATTTCAGAAAATGAAATGAAGTTCAATAAAAGCTTTATCTCATCACTCTCCTCCCTGTTCTGCTGATAGATATATGAAAAGTATCATATTACAGTCGACCAAAACAGTCCAATATCAATTAATCACAACATTATAATATTTTCACAATTATGGATATCTATATATGTTTAATCAGGAATAAAACCTGCTGAAATCAACTTTGGAGAAATTGCTTTTATTACCCTCAGTAGGATCAATCAAATAACGAAAAAAAACATAACTTGGCGCAGTGAAATTACACAATATGTAGATGTGCATGAAGAAAGGAATTTGTGATTCCACTATTTTTCAGGAAGTATTGCCGTTGAAACTTTTAATTTCTGCTCTAGAAATCTTGTGTCAACTCTCTTTCACTGTTTCTTGGATTTGTTTGTAAACAACTTAAAGAAAGAACATTTTATGTTATTCTGCATGAAGGAAGGGATTTGTGACTTGGATATTATACCCCTTTCAAACAAAGTTTGAATCTGTAGATAAAATTTGGTAAGGGGTACAGTTGTGGGATCAGGATGTGTGCACGGTGTGCGAACGATAAACATCTGGACAGTTACTGATTGTGCACTTTTGTGCACACGAACGTTGTGCGATAACAATCCTGGTTGGTGTAAATTGAGGTGTGGCTTAACAATATAATATTATACAGTTTCATGTTTAAACATAAAAAACTGGATTCTTAAGTATGTTTCTATATTCTAGCTACATAATTTTATTTAAGCTGATCTTTCTATATATACATATCTTCTTAAATTAAGAAACAGTGTTTTGGATGTTCATTAAATGAGCCAAATCAACACCTTTGAAATTATAACACATATGTGGACTGGATCCAATATACAGGTAAAAATAGCCACTTTGTACATGTACCTCGACCACAGTTTTCCTAACCCAGGACACTTACGTAACTTGTCAAGGTGTGAAAATCCTGGCGAAGGGGAGCTATAGACCAAAACGAATACAAATAACAAATACTTAACGTCCAGGTGTGTTTTCATAACGGTCATACAGTATCACATATCAGCTCTCTGTGTCAGGCACAGGCCAGGTAAAACTGGTCACTCATCAGAATGTTATTTACCTGTTTTGTTACCTGGAAGCCAAACCCATTCTTGCCAGTCTAACATTCACTGTAATACTGTGAAATACAATACTGTAAAATTGAACATAGTCTTAATTAATATGATGTAAAATTAATATACAATTGTAAACATTGTACCTTATTTCATACTAGTCTTCCAATTTATTTTCATTCCGTATTATATTGATCACACAATTGCACCAAATCGCACATCAGCGCACAACGGAGCAAATGATTACTAAATCGCACAGTTTTGTGCGGATGGTGTGTGCATGATGTATCTGTGGTGCGTTGTGCGGTCACACAACTGTTTATCCGTTTGAGCTCGTCCACATTCCTCTAGTTGTGGATAGGATGTATTATATGGCAGTATAATAAGAGGTGACTAACAATTGTTTCAATGACAGGTTGCATTGAATGAGAGACCACGACTCCTTACTGAAGCTGACACAGGGAAGAGAGAGGCAGAGACTCAGGCAGAGATCATCAAGGACAAAGCTATGTCAGAGGCAAGGATTCTTGAAAACAGGTAATTGCTCACATGTATTTGGATATTGAGTTCATTTCATCTAAGATTTGCAGCAGGGTGAAAATTTCCATGCGGAAGTATGTTTCTCATAATATGCAGAATTCTGATTTTATATATATATCTACGGAAGAATTGATTCATCTGTGTTTCACGAATCATCTTGCTGTTTCTCTCAAGGCTACTCTTGTCAGCATTATAATATACTGTTCCTCCTACCAGCAGTTCAATATTCTGTTTCTCACTTATACCCTTGTTTTGTTTACCTCAGGGCCGTCTCTGAAGCCAACTCAATTATAGCCCAGTACTCTAAGGAAGCTGAAGCATATGAGCTGATTCTCAGTTCGTCTGGACTGGCATTTACAGTTGAGGGATTCATTTCCTACCTTGGTGTCCGAGTCATTGCTGATGCTAAGAATCCTGTCTACATCGGACTGCAGAGTCCAGCGAAATCGTCCTACACATAGACGGGGGTTGTAGTGTACAGTATATTGGGACCGAGTTTAAGTGTCCAGTGTGTTTTGGCATGAGTTAGGTGTCCAGTAAATCGGACCAGGGTTAATGATCCCAGTACATGGCATCCATAATATTGTGACACATTAAATTGGCCCAGTATATTGTGACACAGTTAAAGTGCCAAGTTCATAGACTCTGTTTTTGAAACCTGTCCTTTATAAAAGTAACGCGTCCAAATGTGTGTGCCAGCTAATGAGTTAATGTGAGTTCAACTGATTAACAACGAAAATATTTTTTGAAATTTATTAAGATTTTTTAACGTTATATTTGGATCAGAGAATTCCAAGTCCAATGGAAAAAGTGATGTGATGGTATTCTTACTTTTGTATAATGTCTTTGCAATAAAAGCAAACTATTTTGATAAACATATCAAATTACTATTTGAACTTACACAGCAATTCAAGCCCTATTCTGTAAAACGTAATGAAGGATAAGATGAAATTCAACGTCATTCATAAAGGAAATCTGAAGCCTAAAATCAGGTTATTATTATACACAATCTTTAATCATACTGCAAATATTCATATTGTGATCAAATATTTAAGTTTGGTTTAGGAGAAATATGAAAGGATATTAAACTTTTACTTTAGACAGAAACAATGTATGTATTAAGTGTGGCACCATTTCACAAAGTTTCAAGACCAACTGGTCCCTTTGTCAAGCTATGACTAATATTTATTACCAAACTGATGAATTTTACTGAAGAATTATGAAGGCTTGTTTTAGGAGTTTGATCAGTGTGCATTGCAAAATCTATCATAATCGTCTAACTTATGTCGTAAATGCACCATTATCTATGGATCCCCTCATCTCAATTCATAATATTAATACATACCAGTATGGTATTACGAGTTTTAATATAAATTTTATGGACAGATGAAAATTATTTAAATCGTTTTTGCCATTGAAACCTTTGAAACTGAGCATAAGAAATAGGCGTAGAGATAAACTTTCAATGTATTTGTGCCTTTCTATCAAAACCAGCCCATATGAGGACAGATCACCACTGTGGAATGTCATTCATATGGCGTTTGAATCTCATAACACAACATGTTCTATAGTGGCATTTCCTAAGTATAATGCATGAAAACAAATAAGACTCTCAGGTCGATTGTAAGACTACATTCCTCTATTGTATTTTTCTGTCTGTTTTTTCATGTGTTGTTTTGAAAATAAGTTAAAAAAAAAACAATGTAAGATACTCTGATATATAAACTATATGCATTCTTATGATATATTCTGCCTTACTGTGACTTTCTTGTCTTTTTTTTCAAAAGAATTTCAAATTTAAAAGTATGTTAAACATCTGTTTTAGGTAATAATTTGAAAGTCAAGAGTTAAAGGATCTAACTATTAGATATCAAAGCATCAATATATTGTAATACTGATCAATTTAACTCATTGACCCCTACAATTTTAAACTGGACTTGCCCAGTCTTTGTTATGGTAAGGTTCAAATGTGACTTTAGGGGTGAATGAGTTAATGGTCATACATTATTAGTCTTTGTGTATTCATTCAGTTGTTCGATTTTAATTCTTCGCCTTATTTATTTTCTAACATCATATCTATTTCATTTGTTTTTTTAGATTTTTTCAAGATAAATTATGTTCAGTGTTATATCTGTACACTGGAATATTTGTTATGCCCGTCGTGAAAATTTCTACAAATAATTTTGTTCTGATTTGTCCCCGTATATTTATTTACTTATAAGAAAAATAACAGCAAATACCAATTTCATAGCAATTTTACTTGTATATATGCTATACAATGCAATTATTTACAACCAAAATGTCTTTTGTATAATACCTTTGTTAAATCAATGCACATCAGGATACCTCATTTGTCCAAACTTTTATTTTTGAAAACGTATGTAGTAAATTAAGAGCATAAACTTGAGAAGAGGTTGTGATAGTTTAAATTGATATTGAGGGAATTGTTGCTTTAATACATTATTTGTATTTGTCTTGGAATATTGACGATATGGAAGGGGGTTATATTTTCATTTGTAATATTGTACATATTTTCTTTAGAGAAATCCATGTTCACTATTTGATTTCACCTCTATACTGAACTTTGTATGTACAGTCGGTATATGTTGACTGTTCAACTGGATCAGCATAAGTTGTCAAAACTCTTGAGTTTTTTAAAACAAATGTTTTAAATTTATATAATAATCGTTAAAAAAAGAACATCTTTAAAATAAAATCTCTGGAAAAATTGTTTAAAAAATTGTTACAGGAAAGTAATTCTTTTGTGCAATATTTGTCAGGGAGTAGATTGACAGGATGAAAGGGTTATATTTTTACTTTTGAAAAATATTTTTTAGAGGAATATACCTTCATTATATATATCATAATCTTTTTCCAATTTCCTTCTTTAATATCTCGCATATGATCCATGTGATACTGTTGGTTGTTATTTTAGACTTATGACCATTTATATCATTATGTCTGCATGTATTGTATTGTGACACAGCACATACAATGTACTACGCTGAGGGTTTAGTCCTTAAATGATGGCAAGGGTAATTTTAGGCTCAGCTTTATCAGCGAGTTGCCCTCCACTCATTCTGATTGATATTTTGTCTTTACTTTTAAACACTATTTCGTTGTATATGTTAACAAGATATAGGTGTTTGTCTTTTATTGGGAATTGTATATTGTTTCACCATTTATGAAATTCTCAATGAATGGCCCCAATCTGTTTCAGTATATAAATATATATGCTTCCAAAGAATCGGGCTTATCAGCAGTAAAATTGGGTAGCTGCACAACAGATGTACATGTATCACGTCACTATTACCATAATTATTGTATTTATAAGGTTAGAATAAAAATTATGTGATAATTTTCTCCCCAAATTCACATAAAGCATTTCTTTATATCTAGCTTAAAATGGCACAAATGATACCGAAATTGAAATTTAGCCTCAACAATACTGGGAATATGATACATTATCATGTATCTTACATATGAATGTTACCTCAATAGATATATTATTATGTATCTTACATATAAATGTTAGCTCGATGGTGCATTAAAGTGTGGGTTTTGTAACACATTTACTTTAATGTACCCCTAGTTTCATTGTTTTTATCAAATTTTTTTCACCTTTTACAAATTGTAATCATCATTTTCGATTTATTTTTGTCTGTTTGCACTTTTTGCTCACGTGGTTATCTTTTTATTTATTTTATACCCAAAAGTGATGGGCACACACATATTTATATATATAGAATATACACCTCATATATTGCATTCTGAGACAGAGCAGGTGACTGTATCATGTATGAAATCAGTCCTATGATGGAACCTTGTACATTGCCTTTGTCTTTGTCAATAACATATAACAAATACTGAGCATCCAGGATCTTCGGCACACCTAGACCTCGTAAATTAATCAATCCAATAAAATGTACAGCATTTTCCCATTTTGTATTTACACATTTAAAGAAGTCGTTTGGTTTCCAGTTGACCCGAAACAAAATCCACATATTTTTCACTTAAAAACCTTTGAAGATTACATTCGTAAAACTAAAGTTCATGTGCAGAATATGAAGAAATGGCTGAAATGTACTAGAAATCATGAATAAAATATTAAGTACATCGAATAAATGCATTAGTTCATCTTTCTAGGCAAATGCTACACTTTGTCGGATAATTGCTATCATTATTGTCATGCGTTTTACTCCGTTTGTGGAAGGGCAGAGCTGTTTTTGATTTGGTTGCATCAATTTTAAGATATGTGGTACATCGATAAATAATAATAATAACAATGTTTTTTATTTAAACAATGTCTAGTTTACATTATGGCCCTGCATCAACTATATATACAAGCATGACATAGTTTAAGATGACAGTATAACAATGTAGTAAATATACTATCATCACAGTCAATGTAACTTAAAATTTAGCAATCCTAAAAATAGAATTAAACAGTGAACACTGTTATAGTGTGTATTAAAATGAGACAATGAAGTCGGTGTTGTAAAAGTAATTTAGAATAGAAAATTATCAAATGACATTTTCCTTTAGCTAGAAACAAGATGTAGGAAACTTTACTCCTATATCAAAATACCAATATAAGGGAAATAATCACAGATACAGCTGTATGCTATTCATACAATAGATTGAATATCATAAAAGAAATGTTTAGAAATTAGAACTTGAGACTAGTTGTAGTACATAAAAAAAATACGGCTGTATCTTATAGGCAATAAATTGATGTAGATGTAGTTGTAATGAAGTTGAATTTCTTGGTCCTTGAACCAATGACGAAAATTATTTGGTAGAGTGGAGAGTTATAAATATTTTAGGTTTTAATCCTGATTTGGCCCAAAACATTTCCCTGTTCTGGCATGTTGTGGAAATTCTTTTGCCATCTTATCTATGTAAAAGATTGAAACGGAACCGAAATTGATAATCAAAATTCAAGAATATATCTCTGATGTAAATAGAAGAGCTCAATGTAAAGTATTGTGTTTAAATGATGATGTTTGGCTATTTATATATATATATTCAAAAATGTATGACCTTAATTTTGTATTTGTTGATTGAAAAATAGAAGTAGCATCAGGTCCAATAAAAATATGTTTCCATTTTCCTGTCCTATTTCAAATATAATCTGGTGTTAAAATTGCTCAATTCGGAATCAGCCGAACATTATATCCTACACAGTTCAGAGAACATGATACAAGTACCTTCATAATATTCTTGCATCTTTTCTCTTTGTTTTTCGTTTCCTTGTGTCTTATGAAGTGTTGAAATATATTTTTCTGTATTTTTTATTGTTTTGAAACCGTGAATTACATGTTGAAATAATTTTTCCATCATTTGCTTATCAATCTGTGCTAGTATTTGAACTTTATTATGTTTCCTGAAATTTATTTAATGAGAGTTAGATAAACAAGATAACAAGTCATAATTGGTTTGGGAACCTTTCTATGTTATAACTTGTATTTCTATTCTATAACTAAAAAAAAACATATGTGTCTATTGGAAATAAATGATTCCTTTTCCCGATCGGAAAACAATTCGGCCATGAATTATGACGTCACAATGGAAGGGCCGGCACAAAGCACTGTCACATGACGTCGTAATTTAAAAAACGTGGCCAATTAAACCACATACAGGGTTTACCACGTCCTAGAAAGTTTACCAAGTGGTTGTGGGATAGAATAGTTATCTGGTATTTATTTGACAATCCTGACAACAGAAAGTATCTGACAGAAGAAAAACTTCAAATCCTGCATTTGAAAGTGTCTTCAAAAACATCAGCTGATTTTTATGTTTACATACTTCGTCTAATGTTTATTTAAGACTACTGATCAAACAACGAACAGTTATGACCACCGGTATTGTATACTTTTATGTGCCTTTTACCCACTAGAATATGTTATGTGTTGTTGATGCATGTTTTGATACTATTTATATATTTGTCATTCTAGTTTAAAAACGTTTTTCGTAACTCAATTATCATCAATACATTAAATACACCATAGACTTGGTATTGAAATTTTATTATTAGGTTGTTTGATTATAAGATTTGAGGTTATTTTTTAAGTTCGTTTAAAATTGTGTTGGTCTTGTAATAAATGTTGGAAGATGTAACTAATTGTAAAGGTTGGACTCGAAATTACTAATAAAGGTGGGAAGTTGTGAATGTCTCACTTAGGTTAGACTTGAAATTACTAATAAAGGTTTGAATTTGTGAACGTCTCACTTAGGTTGGACTTAAAATTACTAATAAAGGTGAGAAGTTGTAAACGTTTAATTTAGGTTAGACTTGAAATTACTAATAAAGGTGGGAAGTTGTAAATGTTTCATTTAGGTTGGACTCGAAATTACTATTAAAGGTTTGAATTTGTGAACGTCTCACTTGGGTTGGACTTAAAATTACTAATAAAGGTGGGAAGTTGTAACTTACCATGCAAGTGCAGAATCGGCTTCGTACTTGTGACTTAAAGCACCAATCTAACGTCCAGTTAGAATATAGAATTTGGAATATCAAGTTATTACAGTGTACTGTTCCCTTTTTTACGTAGTATTGAGACTAACATTGATAATCATGTTTTGTTAATCAGGAATATGGTTTTTAATTAACATAAATTGTATACTTACCTTATCCTGTAGATTGCTCATTCCGTATCCTCCTTTTAGTGTATCAAAGAAAACTAACAAGCCACAAAAAACTAATGAAACAAATTGACAAAAGACATGTGAGCTAAGACATAACACGCAAAACCATTCAGCAAAATACGTATGTAAAATCGATAGACAGGGTATAGTCGTATTCCGTCTTTTCGTATTGCAGAGTTATCTTCTCTTGTGAGCAGGTATTGATTGTTACGTCATTTGTTTGTGAGAGTAACGTCAACAATTTTTGAGAAAACGACGTAATTTTCTCACACAAACCAATGACGTAACAGTCGATACCTGCTCACAAGAGGAGATAACTCTGCAATACGCAAAGACGGAATAACATCGGTACAAAACGGTAATCCTTAATTCATTGGTAGATACTAATGCAAATCTGCAATTTTATTTGTAACTATGGGTATTTTACGAAATAAGATATGCTTTTACATAGAAATGAATGTACCATGACTTGTGTATTTTAGGAAGATAAACATACTCCAGTTACGCTGTGAGGTGGAAATGTGTCCAGTGTCTGTGTGCAATGATCGATGCTTTTAGTGTCTATTTACACTTTCAATTCCCGAGCTGATCACCTTTTGTATCGTATAATTTCGTAAGAATAAATATGTATGAACTAGAAATATCTTTTATTGTTTTTACTGTTCATGGTTTCCTTACTTCAGAGGAATGGTCATGGTGCGGCGTCCGGCGTCCGTCCTCGTCTGTCAACTTTTCCTGTAAACAACTTCTGAAGAACGGACAGGATTAGAGTCATGATATTTGACTGAAAGCTTTGTTGGTAGAAGCCTGCCAAGTTTGAGAACGAAAATGACCTTGACCTACCCTACTTTCAAGGTCACAGCGGTCAAATATGTCAAAAACTTCAAACCACTTCTTCTGAAGAACTAAAAGGTATAGAATCTTCATATTTGGCTGATGGATTCCTGCGATGGAGCTCAACAAAGTTTGAGAATGAAAATGACCTTGACCTTTTTTCAAGGTCACAGGGGTCAAATGTGTCAAACACTTTAAACGATTTTTTCTGAAGAACTGAAAGGTATAGAATCTTTATATTTGGCTGGTTGCTTCCTGGGATAGAGCCAAACAAAGTTTGAGAATGAAAATTAGTTTGACCTACTTTCAAGGTCACAGCAGTCAAATATGTCAAATCCTTCAAACGACTTCTTCTGAAGAACTGAACGGTATAGCATTTTTATATTTGATTGATGGCTTCCTAGGATAGAGCCCGGCGAAGTTGGAGGATGAAAATGACATTGACATTCTTTCAAGGTCACAGGGGTCAAATGTTTCAAACGCTTCAAACGACTTCTTCTGAAGAACTGAAAGGTAAAGAATCTTTATATTTGGCTGGTGGCTTCCTGGGATAGAGCCCTACAAAGTTTGAAAACGAAAATGACCTTGACCTTCTTTCAAGGTCATAGGAGTCAGATATGTCTAACGCTTAAAACAACTTCTTCTGAAGAACTGAAAGTTATAGAACTTAAATAGTTGGCTTGTACCTTTCTGTAAAAGAGCCCAACAAAGTTTGAGAATGAAAATGACCTTGACCTACTTTTGAGGTCACATTAGGCAGATATGTCAAACACTTAAAACGACTTCTTCTGAAGAACTGGAAGGTATAGAACCTTGATATTCGGCTGGTTATTTCCTGGGAAGAAGCCCAACAAAGTTTGCGAATGAAAATGACCTTGTCTTACTTTCACGGTCAAAGCGTTCAAATATGTCAAACAGTTCAAACTACTTCTGAAGAAGAATTAAAAGGCATAAAATTATAATATTTGGCTGGTGACTTCCTGAGATAGAGTTCACCAAAGTTTGCGAATGAAAATGACCTCAACCTACTTTAGAGGTCACAGAGGTCAACAACATTTTAAAGGATTTGTTCTCAAGAACTAAAAGGAATGGATCCATAAGATTGGCTGGTAGCATTTTGGAATAGAGCTAACCAATTTGAGAAGGAAAATGACATTGACCTACACAGGGAAAAATATGCCAAGCAACTTCTGAAGAAGAATCAAAAAGCATAGAATCATATAATAACATTTTGCTGGTAGTTTCAACAAATGGAGCCAACAAAGTTTGCGAGGGAAATATTTTTAGTGCGAAATAATATTTAATGAGAATATTTTGCTATGACTGCTTAAATATATTCAGGTGAGCGATACAGGCCCTCTTGGGCCTCTTGTTAGAAAAAAACGTTGTCATCGCTCTAGTGACTTCATTCCTCAACGGAATTTCATGAAACTTCATACAAGTGTTTGGTATGGCAATGCCTTGAACAAGTTCTCATTTCGGGATTCTACGCTGAAGGTCAAGTTCATTGTTACTAATTTTAGAAACACTTTGTCATCGCTCTAAAGGCTTAATTCCTCAACGAAATTTTTAATGAAACTTGTGAGATAATATAATAAGTTAATTGATGCGCCTATTTTGTAATCGATATATATATATATATTTGTAATTGAACTGATATTATGAAATATCTATATTGTGAGTGGTCCAAATACAATACGTACATTTGTAAATTAATTTGAATAATTAACATTTAAAGTGAATTTGGATACCCTCATCTCTAAAAAGCAAAATCAGGAGTAAATTAAGATATTTATTGGAATTTGTTTAACAACTACGGAAATTTAAAAACAAGTTGTATCGCTGTAAAATGAATCATAAGTTGTTAGCTCACCTGGCACGAAGTGCCAGTTGAGCTTATGGTATGGCGTGTTGTCCGTCGTCCGTCAACTTATTCTTTGAACGACCTCTTTTTAAGAACTGGAGGGCCTAGAGCAAAGCTTTTTGATCAGCAGGTATTTGGGGACAGAGTGCAACAAAGGTTCATCAAATAAATGACCTTGACCTACATTTAAGGACACGGGGGTAAAATATGTAAAAGCCTTTGAACAGCTTCTTCTGAATAACCAGGATACTTAGAGTAATGATCTTGGCCAGTAGGTACCGGGGACAGTGTGCTATACAGTTTCCTCAAATAAACGACATTGACCTACTTTCAAGATCACAAGGGTCAGATGGTCCTTTTTTGAATAACCAAGAGGCATAGAACAATGATATTTGGCCAGTAGGTACATACTACAAAGTGATAGTAAGTGTCCTAAAATAGATAACATTTACATACATAATGTACTTTAAGGGTCATCGGGGTCAAATGTGTAAAAGCAACTTCTTCTGAATAACCAGGAGGTCCAGAGTAATGATACTTGACCAGTAGGTACCTTGGACAGAGTGATA